CAGCTATTATATAAGAGGAGAGAGAGGAGGCCCCTCATTTCTTCTATACTACTCAAAAAGACAATATCAGGTTTTTTTTATCAGGGTTTTCGTGGGTCAATGGTTTTTGTCCAAAGACCTTGGATTGCATGTACCATCTGTATCCATTGAGAAGAAATTGTTGTCTTCATTCCAAGTGGCTGCCATAATTATTTGGCCAGCTAATTAACTATTAATTAACTGTTCACATATTACATGGGACTACCACAAAGATAGGTAAAAAGAGTCAGCATTACATTAACTTTCACTTCTATGGTGTGAAGTAAATCTCATCATAGGGCTAATCTATACTGTAATAGCTATGTCACTGAGAAAAGTGAACAATAAATTAACTACGAAATACAAACGTCTGTTTTCAAAATCCTGAACCTTCACCTGAACATCCCAGTTTCTGCATATGCTAGTAGCCCAATTGGTAAATGTCTTATTAAGAAGAAATTAAAGTCTTTCTTCATCAGCGGCTTTTCATTCCAAAGTTGAATAGTTGACTGATTTTTAATATTGAAACAGTACCTTAGATTAGAATATGTACAGTCATCCCTCTGATAGAAACACATGATTTAGGAATCTTTATCAGAAAACTGTTTTTAAGCATCTTCAGCCCTCAAATAATTACTTAATGGGAGGTGTTTACAAAAAAAATTGACAGTAACAAAACAGTAAAAATCCAAGTATATATAAAATTTTTATAGAGATCCTCCCTGGGGTGAAATTCCCTAAGCCAAAGCTCTACTTGATGACCCCACGAGAGCTGGATGAATTGTGAACCTTTATTGATAAAAACCTAAAATGGGGTTTCATCAAAGCTAGGTTTCATCTGGGTGCCTGGTGGGGTGTGTTTGAGCTGGGGGTATCAGGTGGGGTCTGTTCGTGCCCAGGTGTTTGCTTGGCTTGTGGAGATTTGTTTGTGAGTGCAGGCTTCCAGATAATTGAGAGTCTGGTGGAGTCATCTCTTCTATTCATGCTTTCAGGTCTTTTTTCAATCTCTATGGCTTCTCTGATAATTCTGTAGCTGGGGTTTTCTATAGTGGCTAGGGTTTTGGTGCCATTGAAGTCGATGCTGACCTGTGGCTTTCATGTGTGGGACTAGTGAGGAAGTATATTCCAGCTTTTTTACTGCATTTCTGTGTTCATCTAGGCAGGTACTTATTCTTCTATTGGTCTGTCCGCTGTATGTGGTAGGACATGATGCACAGGGGACTTCATATATGTCTTCGTTTTCCAGGTCAATCTTATCTTTGGGGTTTCTTAGAATGGCTGCTATTTTTCTGTCTGTTTTGAAGGCAGTCTTGATGTGATGCCTGTGTAGTATCTTACTGATTTTGTCTGTAGTACCTCTTATGTAGGGCAGGACAGCTGTTCCATAGTTTAGACATTCTGCAAATAAGTAAGTTCAAGAGTCTTGCTTACAAATGTAAACGTTGGTTCAATTTAATTCTAGCTAAAATATTGCACTTTTGTAAATAGTGCATTATAAAACATTTGTGTAATCATCTTTAGTATATGATGATTCAAATTCAAGCTGCAGTTCTTCCCACTGAAAGGAACTTTATTTTGTCGTTTTGTATCTAATATTTTCAAAATGATGCCTGATGTGTATAAATACCAATTTAGCTGACCTCAGAAGAATCAGAGGTCAAGGTGAACGAAGAACTCAGTTTAAAGATTTTCTTGCATTGTTGACTTTGCTTTATTTGCAACCCTGGAAAAATTATTTTTTTGCAAAACATTGTGAATTATCCCCAAATGCCAATATGAATGTCTGCCACCACATAACTACATCTGGCAACAATGAAGACAAATTAACAAGGAGAGCCAGAAAATCTGGCAATTGGATAAACTAAAGCATGAAAAATCTATTCTGCACAGTTGAGACCACCAGTATCTGATGATAGATTAACTTCCTGTCTCTAAAGCTAAATTAAAGAGGGAAATTATACTGCAATATGGATACCAGGTTCCTTGATAGGGAAAAAAAAACCCTGGCTTCTTTGACATTGCTAGATGGGGTGGTGCAAATGGGGGAACTCTTCTTCTGCATCTGAAATATATGGCTAAGAGTTCTGTATAAACAGCTGCTTTCAATTTTGCTTCGAAAAGCTCGACGACACTGTATATAAATTTGCATTTCCAAAGTGAATGGGTTGGGTGGGGATGGCAGCATTGTAACATTAGTCCATAGGGACATATATGGGTCTCAAGCATATTGCTGACATGGGGATTAACAGTTTACAAGAGCCTAGACTACTACTGTATCAAGTAGATGGAACTGTTTTTAATCTACCCTTAATTACCCCAAAGCATTACTTTTTGATTTCTAACCAGAGAGACAAATCCTAATCCTTGATTTGAAACAATGATTAAGGAGTTTTCTTGAGGGGAGAAGGGAGAGAAAGGGAAAACAGGACATCGTTCTAGTTTAAGTTAGAGTGGAAGACAATGCACTTTCCAGTTTGATTTTGAAATAAATTTATGAGAACTGAGTAATTTCTGAGTTAAAAACGGAATCTTTTCACATTTATCTGAGTTTGTTCAATTAATGCAAAATAAATTAAAAATACCTAAGCTCAGCCTTCTGCAGAAATATTTCATAAAAAATATTTTGACATAGTATGATGAACTCAGAACACCTGAAAGCAATATCTAAAATTTTAATCTCTGTAATGAGAATTGTTCTTAATGAAATTGATCAAAAGAACAAAATCTCAGCTTTGTCTTCATTTAAAAAGTTAATAAAGTCAATTTTTTAAATTCTGATATCAGGGTTTCAAATAAATGGCTGGACCAAAATATTACTGCTTCCCCGTAGTTTTTGAATCAACTATTATCAACTCTTTATTATCACTAATAAAGAGGAAAAAAAAGTCAATCTGGTATTGAAATGCTGTGCTTTTTCCTTAGCACAAACAGGATTAGATTATGCTACAGAAAAATTAGCAGTACCATTATAACTTAAAATATCAACATCATTATAACCATGGATTTGGAAGGTACAAGATCAGTGAAACTATGGTTTCTTTCATGTTTCTTCTTGTTTACCAAAGCAGTGCAGTAGGATAGTGGAATTAAAACTACAAACTTCAGCAGACTTTGTTTCATCAGCCATGTTTTAAAGATGATTCAACACTCTCTAATCGCCATTTGAAGTTTTAATTCAAATGGCTGTATCATGTTTTTTTAAAAAAATATAAACTCACCCACAATTTCTGCAAAATGCAGTAGCAATCTTTCCAGCAATTGTCCTTTTCAGAGAGATATATTCTCCCTCATATCACATATTAAATTCTTAAGAGTGCATGGCTTCCCTAACATCAGATGCTGCCTTATATTTCATAATCCAACATTTCCCAATTCATACATACATCTTCACAGGTATGTGCAACTGAAATAAACTATTTTAGGATAAGGATGTATAGGAATATGGACCAACCTAGAAGTCTTCTTTTACTAGTTACAACTATCTAGGGGTATCAGGTGGTCAGTCCAAGATCTCAAATGGATGTTTTCCCCATACTTCTTGTTAATGATCAAACTTACAAAGTCAACACTGGGTTGTACTGAATGCAGTATTTAAGTGGCTTGTGAAAAACAAGAGTACATTACTCCTAAAGATAGGCTGACTCGGGACAAGCAGGGCCAAAACAAAGCTAAATGTGACCAGGATTTTCATCTATTAAAAGATAACCTAGAAATGCAATTTGAATTACTGGAATGGAACGCTCGGGAGGAGGAGGGGGCGGCAGCGGCTCATGTTGTTTTCTGGCTCTAGGCTTGCGATCTCAGAAAACAACACGAGTCGAGGTGGCTTCGTTTCCTCAGCCCTAGCTGCTTTCAGTCCCCTCGGGAGGAGGAGGGGGCGGCAGCGGCTCGCGTTGTTTTCTGAGATCGCCACCTCCTCCTCCCCCTCCTCCTCCCGAGGGGACTGAAAGCAGCTAGGGTTGAGGAAACAAAGCCACCTCGGCTCGCGTTATTTTCTGAGCCTAGAGCCAGGGCGCTTTCATTGCACGGCGGAACTTCTTGTTTCAGGAAACACCGGGCGTCGTTGCTGCCCCCTGAGGGGAGGGCGATTCTGGGCTGCGCGATTGGGGGACTTCGTGGCTTTGGGTGGGTGGGTGGGAGCGAGGACGGGTGGAGTCAGCAAAGCGGGGCTTGCCTGCCCTTGCTGGCTGCCTCTGCTTCCTTAGGGGCAGGGAAGGGGGCTCATCTGGACCAAGGGTGAGTCTCCCCCTCAGTTTCCCCTGAAGGATCTTCTGTCACTTTTGCCTTCTCCCTATGTTAAAATCCCCCCCCCCACTTATTTTCAGGCGGATAGATTTTGTGTCTGAGCATTCTCACATGACGGTGGGACTACCCCCCCCCCAAAAAAACAGTTAAATAAAGAAAAAACAATACATCCTTATGCAAGAACTTTTCTGCTTCCAATTACCCCCATGCTTACAAGTTGCAAAGGAAATACGGAAGCAGGGAAGCGGCTGCCCAGCTCCGGAGCACCACACCATTTTTTTTTCAGAGGGAATCTGACTCGAGTATAAGCCGGGGGGGGGGGGGGGGGGTTCAGCACAAAAAATGTGCTGAAAAACTCTGCTTATACTCGAGTATATACGGTAATTCAATTTGATACTGACAATACATACTAACTAGAACTGGAATGTCCATGGGCAATAAGAAGTTTACAAGTGCATTTTTGCATATATGCAAAATATCTTTTCTGACATGGGCAATGTTCACCACAGTACAGGTGAAACCTGCAAAAAAGATGCAGCTTCCTCCTTCCCCTGAATATGATCTTGCCTCTATGTGTTTGTTATCAGTGCTATTTAATGCAGAAATCAACAAAAATAATAAACATTATCAGGCATTAATCTGTTAACCATCCATAATTTTGAACAGCTTCTTAAATCACACAGAAGCATATGAATTGGTATTAGTTTAAAACATCTATTTGAATAAAATGACGTCTGTGTCAGTAACAAATGCATAGTTATTATTGACACCATTAATTTACAAAAATACAGTTTGGTTAAACAAAACCATACACATCAGAAATATAAGGTATGTATAATCTTCCTGATATAATGCATTTTGCAAATAAAACTGCATCTGTATAAAATCATAAATCTCTTTTAAAGTACAAGAAGTTTCTTTTTAAATAATGTTCACTTTGAGGTAGTATAGTTCTTGGTTCATGAGCTGATTTTGGGCTGGCACTGATGGCAAACTATGTATCTAAGTCAAAAGATTGAAAAATAGAAGTCCTATAGTTTTCAGTTGATTGCCCACAAATAAAGTTGCAATTGTCCACTTCAGGAAAGGTCCTACCCATTTTATTACCCCCTTCAAACTCCAAGTCAAAATCCAATGATTCCTTAGAATAATGTTGGGAGGCCTTTGGCTGCAAAACTGAGGACTGCTTATAGCTTGGCAAAGAATCAATCTGAGGCTTCCATATAGGTTTTCCAAATGTTCCTAAAGAGATAGAGAAAACATTTATTATAATAATGGACAAGCAAAATAAGTATCCACAAAATAGCCAACAATCAAGTCTATGTTAATATAAATTATACTTTTTCAAATTACTCAATTATTCTGGTTCAGACCTGTGTTCACATATTTGGGAGAAACAAAGCAAGACATTAATTTCCTATTCATCTTTCAAGATTTGGTGTCTTGTGCAAGTTAAAGAGAGAGTTGAGTTCAAATTTTTATGCAGTCATGAAGTTTAATACATAGCCTTTGAAACCTGACAGGTTCACTGTAAGGCTCATTGAATGAGAATTCTCTCTCAATTTACTCTACTTCTAAGGATTATCAGAGGGATAATACTGGAAGGTAGTAAGACTTAATACTGTCTGAGTTCTTTCAAGAAAGAGCAAATAACATAGATGCTTGATGAATGAGACCTTTATTTCATATATGTATGTTTTTTCAGTTACTATAATATAGGAAAATGGGACTTTTTCAATGAATACAGTATTTAAGTCCTCATTTACTGTCTTATAACTTTATTGCTTGCATTCAAATGTAGCATGGCATAGCTTCTAGCTATCCCAATATGGAGACATGCTAAAAATATTTTAATGGGCATAGGCCACTAAGTGGTCAGCCCCTTTTTAGCAGAAAGGCAAACTCAATGTTTAGTTAACACATCCTGAAAGAATCTCTAAAGAAAATGTTTAATGGGTATGGCAGATAACAGTTTTTCAAAAAGCAATTTTGTTTACTTAATTTCAATGTGGTTTTCTTCCCCATTGCATGTATTTAGGATTTCTGGATTAGAAAACCATTAAAACATACCCACGAAAGTGGTGCTTGGTGTAACAGAACATAGTTCTTGACTTCTCTTAAATTGACATGTGTCTACATTTAGATGTGAGCTTCTTATTCCATTCTCTTCATTTGGGGGATAAATAGAAGGAATCAACTGATTACTTGGCATGTGTATTCTAGAGATACAGAGGTATCGGTCAAAAGGATCTCCAGGTGAGTAGATATATGGGTAGCAGTCTTTTTTCTTTAAGCAGCTTGATGGAAATAATTAAAACACGTATATAATATAAATTACCTGTATGGTATGTTTCAAACATTTCTGGGTTACATAAATTTTCTTTTAAATGCAGGCTTCCTGAAGTTCCCAGATAATGGCAAAAGAATGGATCCATTACAGCTTCCAAGTCATTTTCACTACAACTATCTGTATGACAACATCCTTTGAAAGGGAGATGACATGTATCAGTCTCCTTTGATTTCAGATTTATTTTCAAACCAAAACATCTTTGTAAGGTATTTCTCAACTCACTTAGTATATGTTCAAAGTTACGACATCCCTGCCAAAAGTACTGACAACCAAGTCCCAAAGTTATGTATGTTGCAGCACCACAGGGATTAATCTTTCCAACTTCTTGTGAAAAAAAAGTAAGTTCCCACAAAGTTGGAAAGGCTGATTTTACTTTTTTTTTATCACCAGAAACTTGCCTCATGAAGTTGCTTGGTCTCTCCTGCTCTGTATTGGGGAAAGCGACAACTTTGGAGACATACCGAACCTGCCCAGATTTCACAAATCTTTGGAGGATTCTTCTATGGTTTCCCTGTGCATTGGTTCCCAGTGGTTGGTGATGGGGTGGGGAGGAAAGGCTCAAGCAGCCTGGGACCCCAGGAAATGGGAAGAGGAGTATGGGATCTTTCAGGGGGTGGGGGTGGGGCTTTGGTGGCTAGATGCACTAGAGCCAGGCCACCTATGGTCTTCCCCAGTCCTGAGGTACTCCATGTGCTCTTAACAACCCAGCATTTGATTAACAGATGACTGGAGAGAGGAGCGATGGGGCTCCTTCATTTAATGAGTTCCAATTAATGAATTCTTGTATGTAATTGGCAGGTTCCATTACATTCGTAACTCGAGAATTACCTGTATAGAGAAACCTAACCAAATAGAAAGCAATGATTATCCTGAATATGCTGAGTTCCAGATTCTTTCAGCAGTTACAATCTTAGTGGCTTCCATTTATTTTTAGTAAGACACACTCTCCATTCATTTATGATCACAAATTAAAACACTCTATTGATGGATATCAAATTGATTCTGCTGGGGATACCTGCAATCCTTAGATGCCTGCAAATCTTCCTAACTATCCAAGGCAACTCTTCAAAAAAAAAAAAATTGAGGAATCTCTATTATGAGGGAAAGATGCTGGAAAACAACATTATGCAAAAGAGTGCTTTATGTGACAAAAATCTAAAGTTATATTATGCTGAAATTCTAACTCAAAACTTGAAATAGACCAGTTTGGAGGCACTGCCTGCAACATAGTTGGAATATTCTTTCTCCAGATATGTGCATATATAGAGGAGGGAACCTCTCCTTCCTTTTTAAGCCATGGATAGACAAAACTATCCACATGAAATATAGCCACTTCCTGTTCCATGATGTGCTTCATAAGATCATCACTGAGAACACCGGTTTAAAAGTTTGGGGTTAGGTTAAATCTTTAGGGAAATTCTTGGAACATAAGCTCTGTTTCTTCTTTCACTACTGTGAAAAAAACAGAACTTTTCTGTTAACAGCAAGGCTTTAGCTAGTATTGCAGCTGAAAATATTGGACAGCAATATGTGTGATTTTAGCATTATGGATTTTTGTTGAAAAACATGGCTCTAGGTGAAAACTAAAAATGAAATAATAAGCAGAGTAACAAGAATGTTCAAGTCATTTCCTGGAAATGTTCTTCAGCTGGAAAAAGCTGTATATCAAGAAAATATACAGAATAGTGTCTAGTGTAAAACTAGAAATATCTGAACATATAATATTATGATGTCTTTGGGCCAAAATAGTCACAATCCTTCATTAAAACAAATGATGAGAAATTTAGAAATAGTAAAACTATTGGTTCTCCAATTTTTTTGATTAAAAAACAACAGTGATGGAATCCTAAATTGCAATTTTGGAGCACATTACATTGGAATGAATCCTCAAACACACATGAATAGCATAGAGCAGTTAAATCCTTACCGTTGCTTTCTCTCTGTTGAAAGAAATATCTACCCATGGGAGATGATTGTACAAAGTGATGCTGGCTTCCATTCTCTGATGACCCATATCCATCTTGTTTTTCAGCTAAAGTTCCTTGGGATGACAGATAGCTTGGAATATCTGCAGGTAAGTTTGTCTCATCTGTGATAATCAATGTACGTGCACAAAACTATCAGTAGCTGAATTCTTTGAAGTATTTTGTATGAGCTACAGAAGGATGAGTTTCAACAATGATTTAGGTTTCTGAATTTGAGTCAGAACACCCAAATATTTCTGCAAGGAAAACTTCAGGAGGGTAACCACAAACATCTTTGAGAATCTGTTCCAAATTTTAGTTTACTCACCTGTGTTTGTGACACTGCAATCTTCATTTCTCCTTCTTGTGTGGTATATGATGACCACCCACACAAGGGAAGTGGCAACCACACAGCACACCACAGCTATGATCACTACTCCCACAGTAGCCCATCCATCATCATCGAGAGACAGGGCAGCATTTTGAGGAGAATCACAGGTAGGAGTAGGAATCACACTTAGGAGAATATTGCCTCTCTCGGTTCCAAGTGTGTTAGACATTTCACATGTATATTTCCCAGCATCTTCAAAGTTTGTGTCTACAATAATAAGCAACTGATTTCCCGCAGCAAAGAAATGCCTTTCTGTCACTGCTAAGGTGCGATCATCTTTGGTCCAATTCAACCAAGGAGATGGGCTGCCCCCAGCAATGCACTGCAAGACTGCTGTTTCACCTTTCATCACAGTTCGATCCAGCAACGGTCTCAAAAAGGAGGGTGTTTCTGAAAATGGATAAAAAGTCAGTAAACTCATAAAGTTCTCAGGCTAGAATCTTAATCATAAATTGCATAATTATGTGCAAATGTACTGAAAATAATAGATCAAATCTAATAAAGAAACACTATGAGTATTAAGCTGTATTTATTGCTGTCAAAAACAAAATGGTGAGCTATCAAATTACCAGTGTTCAGCTGAGAGACGTGATATTCTTACCTAATACTGTTAATGTCGCATTTGCAGAAATACTTCCTGCAGTATTCTTAGCTGTGCAGCTGTAAAGACCTGTATCCTCAATTTTGACATCCACAATAAAAAAGACATCATCCTCAGGCATCACATGCATACGTCTCTTGCGTGCTGCAGGGAAGTCAGTACCACCATCCTTCTGCCAAGCAATCTGGGGCATGGGATGACCAACAGCAGCACACTCTAGCCGTGCTGTTGCCCCTGTGCGGATTGTAAGATCCATGGGCATCTTGGTAAACAATGGAAACACTATAAGAAAGAATAAATCTATATATTGGGAATTGTTCCAATGAAGATTTGTCATGAATTCTTTCAGGGAAGGTCAAAAGAATAGAATAAAAAGTCTTGTTTGTCAAGCCATTTTTCTGTATCTTGTGGCTTTGAATCAGTCTTGATTCCTGGTAGTTGCCTAAACAAGTACACATGACCTTCTTGGCAATATTTTTGGAAGTGGTTTGCCCTTTTTGCTAGGGCTGAGTAAGCATGACTGTCCCAAAGTCATCTAGCTGGCTTCATGCCGAAGGTAGGACTGAAACTAGCAGTTTCTGGTTTTTAGCCTAGTGTCTTACTACACTGGAACTTAACTTTATAAATTTGCTGACAATTTGTTGATTTACTTATTGATTTTTAATTATTTATCATTTTTAATATTTATTGTGAACTTTTTAGAGAAAACTGATGCTAGAAAAAAAAAACTAGGGAGACCATTTTACTGAGGATGTCACCTCTGAGAACCTTCTTGTTGCCACCTGTTCTTTTTTCCAATTCATAGGGTTCCTTGAGAAGACCCACCCATCATAGAAGCAGATATAAAGATTAAAATGTTTTTATATAACTCCATTCTCAGTTATAAAGAACCTCATTTAATTCTGTCAGGAGAGCAAAAACATAAGAGCTCATAAAGAAACCCTTGGTCCTCATTATCAATTGAGCATCTATATTCTAACTAGATATTTCTAGATGGCCTTGAAATATAGTTTTAGTGTTAATAAATTCCCAGAGCAGGGATCTGCAACCTTAAACACTCAAAGAGCCACTTGGACCTGTTTCCCATAGAAAAGAAAACACTGGGAGCTAATAATTTAACAACTGGTGTGACTGGGTAGGCGTGGCCAACTTGACATCACTCACTCCCACTCAGTCACCTCCTGCTCTGGAATAGGAAGCAAGTCTCCATCCCCCGCCATGCCCCTTACTTTCTCAGGCCAGGCAAAGAGTGATGGGGAGGGAGGGGAGGGGACAACCAGTGGTGGGATCAGCCGACAGGGAGCCGCAGCAAAGGGCCGAAAGAGCCGCATGTGGCTCTAGAGCCGCAGGTTGCAGACCCGTCCCAGAGGTTTCCACATGTTGAATACTTTACAGAAACTACAGCTAGAATAGCCAAACATCGGGAATGATGGGAGCTATAATATGAGGCGCTCTAGTTATTTTACCTACAAATTGCAGCAATCTAAACAGAGGCTTGTTAGGTATAAATAACTGTGATTAAAATGAAAAGCAGGATTTACTCTTTTAAAGTTCTTCAATAAAACTTCAGCAAAAAGATCAATTTATTTTCTCATGTATTCATACAGCCAGCTAATATGTGTTCAATATCTATTAAATATGCTAAGCAAAACCTTTCAGAAGGAATGCTATATCATACATTTTATTTTAATATCTAAATATATTGTAAATGCTTACTGTTCACTGTAAGTTTTGCCTTGACAGAGTACGATGAGCCAAAGTGATTGGATATAACACACTGGTATTTTCCTTCATTACTGAATTCAACATTGTGCAGCCTAAGGATGGTGGTGTACTCCATCACTTCACCACCGTGTGCCCTAAGGTGGGCATAATTCTCCATTTCAGCATCACCTATTAATTCATTATCCTTTTTCCATGCAAAAGTCATCTGGGAATCACTGCTACTGGCTGCTGAACAAATAAAACTTAAATTGGAGCCTTTGACTGCTGACTGAGTTTCAGGTTGGACAGTTATCTGTGGCTTGGGAAAATCATCTATTAAAAAAGAGGGAAAAAAAGAGTAACATGAAGATCACACAATTTCCATCAGAAAAGGGAGATCAGACTAAAAACTTATTAGTTCTTATTAGCACATATTTTTAAAAACCAGTTCTTTTACTAATCTTTGTCTAATTCAGTCTTCTATAATTTGTTTGGGACGGATGCTTATTTTGGGGTTCAAAAAATATAAGACAGGGTCTTATTTTCAGGGAAACATGTTAATAGGCAAGATTTCTGCCTATAGGTGCCATGGTGGCTCATGTAGTAAAATGCTGGGCCTGCGCACTGCTGAGGTCGACAGCTCGGCACCTCAATTCTCGTGAGCAAATAAACCATGGAGGGACAAAAAAGGAGCTTCCTCTGATTGCCTACTGGCATCCAGGCATCCTGTGGGTAAAGATAACACCATCTGAAAAAATTCCTTTCACAGAGGCAGCCAGCCACCTCAGTGATCCCTGGCTAAAAAGGCGCCAAGTAAATAAATAAATAAATAAATAAATAAATCTGCTTATAGGTGAGGAACAATAAAGAAAACTGCTTAAAAGTTCAGGATGACTTTCTCGATTTTTGATATTTGTATAATGCTTTAGCTTTAATTAATTAAATTTAAATTTAGCTTTCACTTTAAATGGTCACTGAACAAATGATTGCAAAGGATTGCCTGTAAGTGGGATTTATTGTAGTTCTGAAATGACTTGTAATGATTTTCAGATTGCACGTTGCGCTGGCCCTGCAAGTCTATTATGTTAAACCTAATTGTGGTGTTATGTTGCATCCAGGAGTCTAACAGCCCATGGATAAAAACTATTTTTCACCTATTCGTTCGGCTGGCTATGCTTCTATATCTCCTGCCCGATGGTAGGAGAGTAAAGAAGTGCTGACCAGGGTATGAATCATCCTGAGGATTTTTCTCACTCTGCTGAGGCAGCAGATGTCAGGGGACAGCCCATAATTTTTTGTGCTGTGCTCATCACCCTCTGTAATATCTTTTTATCCATGGCGGTCAAGCCAGCACACCATACCGTAACACAATATGTAAGAACACATTCTATCGTAGACCGGTAAAAGGAACTCATCATATGTTGTTCCACCTGATTTTTCTGCAAGACCCTAAAGAAATGGAGTCTCTGTCGAGCCTTCCTGACCACCTGGATAGTGTTATTTTTCCAGGTGAGATCTTGGCTAAGATGGACTTCCAGGAATTTGAAAGGAGACCCTCTATAGACTAGTTTTTGCCCACTCACTCCATTATAACACCAGGAAGTCAAAGCCACAGTGTCTATGCATGCTGCCATCTTAGATGGGGGAAAAAAGTTCATTGTATATGAAGAGTTAGAAGAAAAAGAACATCCTACACGCACATATAGTGAAAGAGAATTATAAAACATTAAAGATAAATCTTGTTAACTTTTTCAATTAACTACCAAATTTTACAATCCTGATAAGAGTTAAAAAGGATAGTTTTTAAATAGGATAAGTTTTAAATAGCAAACGTACCACATACAAAACCTTCTAGGCTGACAGCAAAAACATCTCTTCCTTTTAATGCCTGAGGATGAGCACATGTGGCATTTACAAAAGTCTGGAATTTATTGTCTATTAGCCACTCAGGTAGCCATTTCAGCTGGCAATCGCACAAAAGGCTTGATGTGTTTATATATCTGGAAAACAAACAGGAAAGTGGTGGAAATGTATATGCGTCTTATGGAGTGAAAAATACAGGCCAAAGCAGTGGGGTCCTTTTACATTGCTGAACCCCGCCTCTTCTGTTTTTGTCATTGCCCATTTTCTTCCTCTAAACCTAGGTGAGTCATATGGTCAGGTGTGTCTTATAGTGTGAAAAATACAGTAAGTGAAAGCTGTGTTGGAGGAAAGACAGATACTTACAATTCTTTAAGATTCTTCATTTGTAAAAATGTGTTTTCTTGAATTGACATTATTGCATTATTACTTAGATCTCTATAGGAGAAAAAAATAATGCAAATCAACTTAGGACAAATTCTATACCAAAAAGGGGAAAAAGTATCTCATTGTAATTACATACAACAATTTAGTAATATTTCTGGATAAAAAAATAACATTGGATAAGGGATTTTTTTTTGATAAATTAAAAAAAGAGATTTCCATTTTAAAAAAACTGTACATGTATCTGAATTTTTAAGAAATACAGATAGTCCTCGACTTACAACAGTTCATTTAGTGATTGTTCAAAGTTACAATGGCACTGAAAAAGTGACTTATGGCAGTTTTTCACACTTAGGACCATTGCAGTATCCCCTTGGTCATGTGATCAAAATTCAGAAGCTTGGCAACTGACTCATATTTATGAAGGTTGCAGTGTCCTGGGGTCATGTGATCATCTTTTACAAGCTTCTGACAAGCAAAGTCAATGGGGAAGCTAGATTCACCTAACTGTGTTACTAACTTAACTGCTATGATTTACTTAACTGCGGAAAGAATGATAATAAAATGGGGCAAAACTCACTTAACAAATAAATTTAGCAAGATAAATTAAGCGCTCAATTGTGATTGTAAATCAAAGACTACCTGTTTGGCCTAAGGAGAGAGAGAGAGAGGAAGAAAGAAAGGAATGATTAAAAAAGAAGAGATCTTAACTTCACTTTGTGTGTCAGTTTTCATTTTCATTTTCTTTTTAAAGCCCTTTTTAATTCTTTAAAGTCTATCCTGTTGAGGATCAAGGTTAAAAGATGATTGATGTGCTTCCTAAAATGACAGCAGCTTGTTCTAATGTTTAAAAAGACCAGCATTCCTACAACAATGGTAGATAGTTTGATAAACCAAGAAGTTCTTCCTGGAACTTCCTGGACCATATGACTATGCAATGTCATAAAGAAGTCAATACTTCAAAGAAACTATTGCTCCAGGTATATTTGGTTTTCCTAAAAGCTCCAAAAAGATACAAGGATCTACTTTACTCACTTTGATAACAGAAATGAAAATAAAGACATTTTGGAAAGTAAGTGTTCCCCCTACTACCTATAATGTGAATTTTCCAATTGTGGATAAATGCTAATTGGACTGCAGTGAGCTCCAACTGTTCCTAGCAAAGTTTGGCATAAAAATATTTTTAATCCCTAACCCAGAAAAGTGTACAAATTTTCTTTGTGGACAGTGCATTGCCAGCCCTAAGCAACTTTTTCTAATATTAGACCCACTGTACATTTTAGTAACTTTATATAATGATGATTTTCAAGTACTTACAGGTGTTCAAGTGCATCCAGACCAGAAAATGCTTTCTTAGTAATAGACCTAATTCTGTTCCCTTGGAGTAGCCTGGAAATATAATATGTAACAGATGCAATAAAATAAGAAGTATATTTGTAAATTTTGATAACACCTTTGGAGCCATATTTTATCATGTTGCAATTTTTTGCCTTTTAAGCTTCTTCCTGCTACAGTGATTACATTTCCTAAATAGGTGCTTTAATTTTGGTTCAATAACTAGAGAGATGAAGGCATTTTAAAAATGTTTATGAACATAATTTAGTAAAGCAACTGTTTTAGGAATCTACAAACTCATTCCTTTTTTCTACCTGCTAGAGTTTGAAGAAAATATCTGCATTCTAATGAAGCCTGAATAAAAATTTGCACAATAAAACGTTGTCTCTGCACAAAACTAATCGACATTTCAATAATGTAATTACTTAAATATCTATAAGGAATAAAAATAAGACATTTTGTAGTACTTCAAATTTCTAAGTTCTATCATATCACAAGACCTAAAATGGACACCTAACATCAAAAACGTCATCAAAAAAGCGCAACAAAGAATGTTCTTTCTGCACCAACTCAGAAAGCTCAAACTGCCCAAAGAGCTGCTGATTCAGTTCTACAGAGAAATTATTGACTGTCGTCTGCATTTCTATAACTGTCTAGTTTGGTTCTGCAACACAAAAAGACAGACACAGACTTCAGAGAGTAATTAGGACTGCAGAATAAAACAATTACTACCAACCTACCTTCCACTGAGGACCTGTATACTGCATGAGTCAAAAACAGGGCTGTGAAAATATTTACAGACCCCTCACATCCTGGACATAAACTGTTTCAACTCCTACCCTCAAAACAATGCTAGAGAGCACTGCACACTGCACACCAGAACAACTAGACAAAAGAACAGTATTTTTCTGAACGCCATCACTCTGCTAAACAAATAATTCCCTCAACACTGTCAAACTATTTATTAAATCTGCATTACTATTACTATTAATCCTCTCATTCTTCCTTTCACCCATCTCCTCCCACTTATGACTGTATGATTGTAACTTTGGTGCTTGTATCCTAATAATTTTTATTGACTATTTCCTAGTATGATTGGTTTGCTTATGACTATTATTAAGTGCTGTACCTTATGATTCTTGACTCTTGACGAATGTATCTTTTCTTTTATGTACACTGAGAGTATATGCATCAAGACAAATTCCTTGTGTGTCCAATCACACTTGGCCAATAAAGAATTCTATTCTATTCTACATGTGACACTAAGAAATTATTATTTCAATGTATTGCTTTTATTGGTTGCTTTATAAGGTTTTCAAGACAACAGGCAATGAAAGCAAGACCAAAAACTTCCTGTAAAACATATCCCAAATAACAGCTATGAAATAGAAATATGTAGAGTTGTAATTAAAACAGATTTAGTCATTATAAGCAAGACCAGAAAAGCCATAAAATCAACAGCAAGAAGCTGAACTATATTGCAAATCCTTTTCATAATTTTGCATTAGAAAGATAGTATGTCAAGGAAGAAACTGTTGAATGAAGATGATTACTTAATTAAAAATGAGTAACCTTGGCTACAAAGTCTCATAACATCTCGATTTTCCCATCTCCATCTTAGCTAGTTTTCGCACTCCTGATCACGGTCTCTATCCACTACACGAGAAACAAAATAGATGCATTTGATAGAAAAAATTCCAGTTAGCTTTGTGCTGTTATGGTGCAAACATTGAAAGTACTGTAAAGATAGTGTCAAAGAGAAAACATAAAGGTAGTGAGCAAGCAGGTGACATCAAAGTTAAATTCACATTGCAGATAGTTGCCAGCTGATCCAATATCAACTAATACTATCAAATTTCCCTATAGTTATGCCTGGCTCTCAGTGTTTTATCATTTTCTCTGTGGTTGTTGTCTTATCTATGGGCTTTTGTGGAACAGTAATAATAATAACCATCATAACAATATTAACAATGATGATAATTATAATTTGCAGGAATGTGTGTCCTTTATAAAGCTTCCTATCCAGGACCACAGAAGAAATATTCATCATTACTCAAATAGAAAGAAGAAAGTTATACTTACAGCCATCTAAGTTTGTCAAGTCCAGAGAAAGCACCATTCATATCTTCAATTGTCCATGAGATTTCATTATTTCTAAGGTCTCTGTAATGAGGGGAGAAAAGTATTTTAAATCAGTCCCAAAATATAAAAAAGGTGTACATGTTTGAAATCACAGCTTGTATAACTCTTAAGTTTATAATCTTTTATTTGTGTTTGTGTGCTTCTGATTCAATATTGACTCCAGAGAGGTTACTGCAGTTTTCTTCGCAAAGAAGTAATTTCCATTATCTTCTTTCTAGGTCTGACAGAGAGTGACTGGCCCAAAATCACCCAGCTGACTTTGTGAATGTCTTCTGGTTTCTAGCCTCATACCTTAACTACTACACTAAGTGATTCTGTATCTGCAGTTTAGATCATGTTAATACTTATTCTATTGAGAAAAAAAGACTCAATATACTATTCAGTTCACTAAGCACTGATCACACTTTTTCAATGGTAGTCCCATCTGCAAGCCATAAAGTAAAATGTGATTTTATGGTATCCTACTGATTTTAATGCTTTTACCAAACATACAAGGCTTTTATGCATCATAAAAATATTTTGGCTTCCTCATTAGAAGAGCTGCTATGCCAATAACTAGTGAAGGGAGTTAACAAGGCAAGCAGGTTACTAACTGTAACAGAGACTTAACAGTTGGATTAATGTATGTGAATGGTACCAAAGATCAGTAAATTCTTACACTTCAAACAAGTTATTATAGATAACACAAAGAGAATTCAAGAGGTTAAGATCATTGTCTGATTTGTATGTCATAATATGAGTTGGAATACAGCTATCTCCATCAATGGCACATATGACATGTAAACATCAGTGCACGTGGGCAACAATAGCAAATACATGGGTGAGTGCTTCTATAATAACAGCAACAATATGTGATGTTTCTTGTGGTTGCCACTCTTTTCCATTATGCCATTATGCAGATTACAACACCATAATTGAAAGCTTTTCAATGGTAAACCCACAGCTAAAAGTTGGCAACAATGCTCCTGTGAGTATCATAGGATATATGACTCCAAATATGTAATGTCTGAAAAATCCAAAATTATTGTGAGAAGTTTTATGTCCAAATATATTTTATTCTTTATACTGTTTCCATCTTCCCTTAAACTATTAATATAATCCACAATGGTCTGAGAATCAGTGTCTCCAAGTTAATCAAATTAGCAAACTTCCTCAAACTCTGAAATATGTTACCCAGACCTAATAATGTACATATCAAGTCTGCAAACACAAATAGAGTTAATTAAATTGTCTCCTAGAAGAACTATATGTTCACAGAAATACACCCCCCACACCCCCTCACACTACGTAGATACTTCTACACCCTGGACAAGCTCCCCCTATAAAAGTTTGCCTCTGTACCCCATTTCTCTGTAGCCTGTCCCTAAAAGCAAACTGTTTTACTTTTAGAAATAAATATTTCTTCTTTCCTCACAACTGTCTGGATCTCATTTTTATTTATTCTTGTGCAGCCTGGCTCAAATTGGAACCCCAAGTTATTCTTCTGACATTAAATATTTTTATGCACATGAAATTCTATCTCCAAATCTTGCAATATTTTGTGTTCCTTCCCCAAATCATGCTGTTGGAGTTTCATATAGCCCTCCCCCCATGATGGCACTGTATGGAATGTTTTGTATTGTAATTCCTTATTTCTATAACAATCTGTCTAGGTTTTTAATTACATAATTTAAAATGGAAATTCATCAAAGAGTAAGCAATATGGTTTTTTTTTTTAGTTTTGGTGCTTTTAAATTAAAAGTCCTTGGTTCTAAGTCAATCTGTATTAAGAAACTTGCACCTATTACTAAATTTTCTGTAGTATTCCAGTGTTTCTAAACCTTGGCAACTTTAAGATGTATGGACTTCAACTACCAAAATTCAAATGCTGGCTAGGGTATTCTGGGAGTTGAAGTCTACACAATAGTTGAAAAACACTGGAGTAGTCTTTAGTTCTAATATTTTTTATATATATAATGCAGAATTGTGAACCACTCAGAGTCATTTGCTGAGATGGGTGGCTATAGAAATCAAATAGATTAGATAGATAGATGACAGATATATTAGATAGATAGATAGATAGATAGATAGATAGATAGATAGATGCCAAGAGTCACTTTGTTGAAATGAGCGACTATAGAAATTGAATAATAAACAAACAACACTCAGCTGGGGGGGATCTTTAAACAAGTTTTTTTGACACTTACAGAATTTGTAAACTGGATAGTCCCTGGAACGCACAATCTGCAATGTCGCTGACTTTGTTGTTTCCAATATCCAGCCTTACCAGTAGGCTTAAACCAACAAAGCTTGAATCTTCTAGTTTTGCTAAATTATTATACTTTAAATCACTGCAAATTAAAAAAAATGGGGGCAATGTTGTTTTAAATCAGCATAAGCAAAACATTCAAGCTAAGAATGCAACTTCTTAATTAGTTTCAGAATAATTTATTTTTAATTCAAGTTTGTGGCTTATTTTCCATGACATGTAATATTATTGCAGAACTAGTTTCTATTATTTGAAATTACAGAAACAACGTCCAAGTGTTACTGGTACAAAGAAACACAATTGATTTCAGGTTCTTGCAATGAAGCATCAATGAATTCAGCACATGTACATAAAAGCAAATGTACTGCTTTCATGTAAAGTTGTTCTTTCAGACATACTTGGACCTGCATCCTACTTTTAAAATAGAGGAGAGCTAAAGACAAACACACACACACACACACACACAAACTCACTACTCACAGCTCACTGAGTTTTTGGCAAAACTCCCAGGCATCAGGTCTGATCCTGCTGATTGCATTTTGGCTAAGATGAAGCTGCTGTAACATCAACAAGCCATAAAGCCAGCCTTTGGAAATCTCTGTTAGGTTGTTATGATCCAGCTGCCTAAGAATACAAAATGAAAACCCAATTTATAGCTTCAAGCTTTAACCATTTAAAATATGTCAAGAATCTTTCTCATAAAAACAAGCTAAAATATATATATATCATTTTGCATTTTGTACATAAATATTTTGTGAACAAATTAGTCCTCAAACACAATTAATTCTAATACTCAGAATGGTTCTTTCTGAAAGACTGTGAAAATATGCACTTACAGAATTTCCATGTTACTTAATCCCCAAAAAGCTCCATCCATGAGCCAAACAAGCCCATTTTTCTGTATTTTTAATGATTTCAAAGAAGGCAGTCCTTGAAAAGTAAGTCCGTCTATTTTTTTAATTCTGTTACGGCTCATCTCTCTGAAGGGAAAAAAAATATTCCATGTTATTGTAGGTAAATTCAAGTTTCTAAGCACTGTGTGTGTGGTCCTATGTCTTTATCTGTTTAACAGAAATACAAAACATTCTTTTTAAACCAGACTTCTTTTTTAACAAAAAAATATTGAACTCTTAAGGCACGACAGTGCCAATAATTTTGAATGTCTTTCAAGCCTATTTTTCTTTTTTAAAAAAAACTTGAAAATTATGTTGCCAGGAATTCAGGGGGTTAAGTTAACAATTTTAGGAAATTATTTGCTATCTAATGGGTGTGTGTGCATCTGTGTGTGTTTGGTGCTACTTCTGATATTCTCTTACAGAACATTTAAAATGTTGGTTAGATTTGCTGTACGTGACATCTTTTTCGGCACCTTAATTTTTTAAACTATGTTCTATATCTGTCACTTCTATAATTGTTATTCTTTTTACCCATGTGAACTCTGGAGCAGTTTTTCCTTCATCCCCATCTCAAATCTTCTGTAATTTAAAATGTTACTAATGAATTATTACAAGCAATAAAAAAGAATAATTCAGGTAGTGCATGCTAGCTTTCTGTGATGCAGCCTCTTTTTAAGCTTTTGCAGTGACTCTTATGAAAGCCCTCAAATACCAAACTATTAGCATTTTACATATTCAGATTCTTGATATTTGTATTTATTTATTTATTTTTATTTATTATTTTTATAAATAACTCAAGGAGGCAAACACATCTAACACATCTTCCTCTTCCTATTTTGCCCACAAAAACAACCTTATGAGGTGGGTTGGGCTGAGAGAGAGTGACTAGCTCAAGGTCACCCAGCTGGCTTTTATGGCTAATGCAGGATTGGAACTCATGAACTTCTGCTTTCTAGCTGGTACCTTAGGGATCAGAAACTTTTTTAAGCTGTAGGAACTTAAGTTTTTATGAGAATGTTTTATGAAAATGTTTGTGTTAAATTATTTTTTTATATTGATATGTGATCTTCTGGTTCAGTAACTGCTCATTATTCTATTATGATTATTTTATCATACTAATTTTATGCAGCTTAGAATTTTTCACTGAATTGGCATCGATCCTCAAAATTGTTGTATTTATTTGCATCCCTAAAATCTGACACTTCTCCACTAATTTTCTCACGTTGCAGTTTACACATTCAGCATTTTAATCAGTTTCTCACTTTACTTTTCTTAAAAAACGTAATTTGTCATCAAGGAGGTTACTTTGGGAGTCTGGGAGTGGAATAGTGAATGATGAAGGTTTGGCCATGTGGGAAAAACAAGTAACTTCTTTCTTTGGTACATTCAGCCTTTTACAATGTACCCTGTCAATATTTTTAATGATTTACTAACAATGAGAGAAAATAATCTAAAGAAAATGTCTTATCTTCCTTCCATACTATAAACCACAACAGCATTACAAGTATCTTATTTCAGGCAATGCAAACAAAATAAATTAATATAAACATTCAGAATGTGGGGCCAGAATTGTGTTTTTGTTGCATCTAAATCTCTTCTGAATTTATGTGATTGCTATAGGGCTAATGTTTAACCATTGAAGGAAGCCTACAAAAATCAATGAAAGGAACAAGGCATTTGGAGGATGTACTCACAGATGTTGGAGATGGGGAAGTTTAAACATTTTCTGTGTAATGGTTGAAATGCGGTTCTTGTTCAACTTTAAGACTTGAAGTGTGTTAGCCAAGTTGTCAAAAATGCCTGGATCCAGTGAAACTATCCGATTGTTGCTAATGTGGCTGGGAAAGAAGGGCAGAATAACATATCTGGAAATGTTGAAATTATGTACTGAAATCCTAATAATCTGCTCTTTGCTCATCTTAATCTTCATTTTAAAAGTCCTTGTCTTATCAGATAACAGATAACCAGAGTGGGAAAGGACCTTGTAGGTCATCTAGTCCACCCCCCCGCCCAAGTGGGAGACCCTACAACATTTCTGACAAATGGCAGTCCAATCTATTCTTGAAATTCACAAGTGAAAATGCTCCCACAACTTCCGAGGGCAAGCTGTTTCATTGGTTGATTGTTCTGTCAGAAAATTTCTCCTTATTTCCAGGTTAAATCTCTTCTTGTTTAGTTTCCATCCATTATTCCTTGTCTGGCCTACAGGTGCTTTAAAAAATAGCTTGACCCCCTCCTCTCTGTGGCAGCCCCTCCAATATTGGAAGACTGCTATCATGTCTCCCCTGGTCCTTCACTTCACTGGACTAGCCATGCCCAGTTCCTGTAACTGTTCTTCATGTTTTAGCCTCCAATCCCCTAATCATCCTGGTTGCTCTTCTCTGTACTTTTTCTAGTGTCTCAACATCTTTTTTATGGTGTAGTGACCAAAACTGGATGCAGTACTCTAGGTGTGGTCATACTAAGGCTTTATAGAGTGGTATTAGTACCTCCCTTGATCTTGATTGTATCCCTCTGTTAATACAATTTAGAATTGCATTAGCTTTTTTGGCTGCTGCTGCACACGGCTGGCTCATATTTAGCTGGTTGTCCACTAAGACTCCAAGAGACCTCTTACAGTTACTGCTATGGAACCTGGTTTCATCCAATCTATATGTGTACTTTTGGGGGGTTTTTTTGCCTAAGTGTATGACTTTGCTTTTCTCTATGTTGAATTTCATTTTGTTAGATATGGCCCAGTGTTCAAGTCTGTCAAGATCCATCTGGATCTTGAGCCTATCTTCTTGGGTGCTAACTATTCCTGCCAGCTTGGTATCATCCACAAAATTGGTAAGTTCCCCTTCTATTTCCTCAGGTAAGTCCTTTATGAAGATATTGAAGAGTACTGAGCCAAAGACAGAATCTTATGGCACCCTACTGCTTATTTCCCTCCATGTAGACTTAGACTCATTAAGGACTACTCATTGAGTACAATTTGTCAGCCAGTTGCGAGACCATCTGGTGGTAGTGTTATCTTTTTCACTTTTTTTCTAGCTTACCAAGAAGTAGGCTGTGGTCTACCTTGTTGAATGCCTTGCTGAAATCTAAATATATTCAGTCCACAGTATTTCACTGGTCTACTAATTTAATCACTATGTTGAAGAATGAAGTAAGATTGGTTTGGCATGATCTGTTTTTAACAAACCCATGCTGACTGCTAGTTATTACTTTACTTGTTTCTAGATGTTGGCAGATCTGTTTTTTTATTATCTTTTCTAGTATCTTCCCAGGTATTGATGTTAGGCTGATTGGTCTATAGTTTCCTGGGTCTGATTTTTTTTCCTTTTTTGAAGATGGGAACCACATCAGTACTTTTCCAGTCCTCTGATAGTTACCCAGTGCTCCAGGATTTTTGAAAGATATGGTGCAGTGGTTCTGAGATGACCTATTTCATCTTCTTTATCAGTGGATAAGTGTCACTTTGAACAGTTCTTAAAAGTCAGAGAATCCACCACATTGATTCCAAAGAAATATAATTTACAATTTACATTAATCCTGAAATGACAGTGATTTAAAAATATTCAACCAAATTTTAAATACTTTCAAAATATTAAACTGAAAAATGTGATTCTTTTTCAAAATAGCCTCAAATACTTATTTTTTATTAAATATATTAAATATTAAATACTTTTTTAAAAAAAAGTATAGTAATTATGATGAAAAGGATTATGAATGAATGGCTCAATCAATAGTCCAGTGAATTTTCGTTTGATTAAAGTGACGGTTCTCTCTTGAGATTCCAACTGCTGTCCTATACAACTTTTAATGGACATTCCTGACTCTAAATTGTAGGCATTATGTTCACCACTACTTAATGAAGCTATGAGAACAGACTTCTATGCAAATATAACATCCACTGTGCATAGGGTAAGGATAACATCAACAAAAAGCAAAATCTTCACAAGGCACTATTTTTCCTAAATTATTTTAATAATAGAGTCATGTGAACATGTGTTATTATTTTGAATTTTATATTCAATCAATTCTAACCAGGAAGTGGATAGCACAATAGACCATTAATAAGTTCCAAAGTACGCTGGTCTATGTGGGCATTTTTAACCTATTTTCTTTAAGGTCAGATGTTAGGAGTAAAAAGGAAAGGGAAGGGAAGGGAAGGGAAGGGAAGGGAAGGGAAGGAAAGGAAAGGAAAGGAAAGGAAAGGAAAGGAAAGGAAAGGAAA